TCAATTCCATGATTCACACATTTCAAATTAAATATAAATTTAGATCATCAATTCTACAATACATACATTTCATTCTCAAATTAAAGTCATTTTCCATATATGATTTTTTAGATATTCTATGTACATCTTTACAAATAATTCATAAGTATTCGTGGTTTTCGGTTTAGCACATCGTCAAAACAATTATCCTATCTTAAATGTACTCATTCATTCTCCTCACTCATTCCATACCTTAAATCTATCTATACATGTTTTGAAGTTTACATTTTGAATAATCACTAAGATTTTATTTACATGTTTGAAAATTATATTTCGTTATCATTTGGATCTAAAAAGGTTACGAATCGGATCTATTTTTATACTTTCTCAAGTTAGCGCGATTGTAAGTACCAATAATCGCACTGGAATCTTCAGACTCAGTTATTTCGAATGCATTTTCACTGATTATTTTAGAAATACGATACGGTCCTTCGAATATATCGAAAAACTTCTGCGTGACCTTGTCTAACGCTTTTGATAAATGTCTTACACGTAACATCACTAAGTCACCTATATTAAGTTTTACTTTAGATATTATTTTTTGTTTTTCACAACGTTTTTTGAAACTTTTTTGAATATTCTCTCTAGCAAGAGTTATAATTATTTTATGATCAATTCTCGGTTGCATTGGAAACTTAACCAACTTTTGTATTTCATCTTGTATCGATTTTCCAAAATGTAATTCGTTTGGCGCGAAACCTGTAGTAAAGTGAGTAGTTACATTTAGAAGGTTTTCAATAGTATTTATATGATTCACCCAAGTAGTATGCTTCGTCTTACACAAGGTCCTAAACATTCTACCCAATTCACGCATAACTCTCTCAGTGGGATTAGATTGTGGATGCCTTACACTGCTAAACAGGACTTTGACACCTATGTTTTCTAGCGAATCTCTCCATTTATGTGAGGTGAACTGAGTACCATTGTCGCTTAATATTCTCTCGAACTTTCCGCATTCTGGAATGTATTTATTCAAGATTTTATCGACGTGAACTTATTGTGGTAGCTTTTCTCAATGGGTATAAACGTACCAATTTTGAAAACACGTTTAAGACGACAAATACATACTCCATTCCTCCCCTGGCGCGAGGGAGGGGTCCATAATAATCGACTGTGACCAAATCTGAAGGTGAATTTGATGCAACCTGATTATATGGTCCCTCCATCGCGACTGATAAATACTTAACCCTCTGACACAAATCACATGTTAATACAAACTTTTTTATTTGCTTATGCATGAATTTCCAGTAATAAAATCGCTTGATATAAGTTAAGGTTTTAAAAACACCCGGATGGGCTAATTTGTTATGAACGTAGTTTATTATTTTATTTGTTAATGTAATTGGAATAACAATACGATAATAATGACTTTTATTTTCGCGGTGAAATAAGATTTGTTGATATATTTCAAAGTTTTCTGTTTGTTTTTTGTTATTGTTGGCAAGAAGTTTATTCGTGATTGATGTACAATAACTGTCCTGTGATTGCAATTGATTTAAGTTCTTTAACATATGCTTTAAAGACGGTTTTTCCTCATTTACTGCCATAATTACCAAAGGAGAAACTTCATTAATTTGAGAAGGAAAAATAAATGTATTGAGTAAAACCAATCATTAATTTTTTATCCGTTTCTCTATGAAATCTTCCCATAGGATTACGACTGAAAAAATCAGCAACTACATTGTCCGTACCCTTACAATAAGATATATCATAACAATATTGTTGCAATAACAGGGACCATCTAATTAAGCGCGAATTATGGTAAACGGTGTTTTGTAAAAATGTCAGACCTTTATGATCAGTTATTATTTCGAACTTGACACCTATCAAATAATACCGAAACTTTGTAACACAATATATAATAGCTAGTAATTCTATTTCGGCAGTAGTATATCGAGTTTCTTCAGATGTTAAGCATCTACTCGCTACCGAAATTATACATTGATTTTCTTCTTGGTCAATTTGATATAATGTGCCGCCTATACCAATCAAGCTACCATCACACTGCAACTTAAATGGGCTATTAGGTATGATGTGACTCAAGCAAACTGCACGAGCGAAAATTTTGTTTTAAGGCCTCAAAATTTCTCTCATGCTCATTTGTCCAATGCCAAACCGCATCCCCAGCCAACAAATCTCGAAATGGCGAAATGTAATCACTATGTCGCATAACAAACCTGCGGTAGTAATTACATACACCTAAAAATTGCTGTAAATGTGCTTGATTTTTTGGATGTTCAAACTTAATTATTTCATCAATTCTCTTCGGGTCTGGCTCTATGCCTTTATTCGACAAAATATATCCAAGAAATAAGATTTTATTTTTGAAAATTCTGATTTTGAAATTTTTATTGTGAAATTATTTTGCAATAGTTTTTGAAAAATTATTTGTAACAACTGAATATGACGTTCAAAAGTGTTAGACGCAATAGCAGTATCATCTACATAGGTTATCAAATTTTTCTCTATATTAGAAAGTTGTAGAGGTATTTTCTTTTCTATTTTTTCTTCGTTATTTTCTTCAACTAAAAATTTAAAATTAATTGGAAGAGAGGTTTGAAGTGAGATGGCAAAAGCTCTAATGAGCGCGCTGCCAGCTGTTTTGATGCCAAAAGGCACGCGAATCCATTGATATGGTTTTGAGTCAAATTTAAATGCGGTTAAAGGTCTTGACTCTTTGTGTAATTTTACCTGCCAGTAACTATTTCGTAAATCTATTTTTGAAAAATGTTTGCATTCATAAAACTTTTGCATTATTTCTGCTATAACAGGGGGGGATTCCAATCATCTTCAATGTTATCATTTATTTGTCTTGCATCCAAACAAACCCTTAATGAATCATCTTCCTTAACCACTATACGTAAAGGACTACAGTAAGGACTAATTGAAGGTTCTATTATACCTGCTTCTAACATTTCATTAATGACCCTACGTACCGGTTCCTGTAAGGCTGATGGTACGGGATACGACGATTAATTTTTGGATTATTATTTTTCAATACCAATTTATGCTCATAACCCAGTGCACATCCCGTTTTATTCTCAAACAATTTTTTATATTTAATTAAAAGATCATGAAAAATTTGTTTCTCCCCGTCACTTAGATTTTCAGTTGAAAACGCAATTGAGTAAAGTTGATCATCAAGACTTTTTTCATTTTCTTTTTCTTTATGCATTACTCTTGTATTCATGTTATTCATATATATGCGATTAATATTAACACAATTATTATAAGTATCTAATAACTCAATATCTAGATCCATAAGATCATCGTAAACATCAGACAAATTGTCAATATATTCTATATTATTTTTCCTAATAATATTTCCGTTGGATTTTGATTAATTTCACAATTGTTCATATTTATACCATTATTTTTATTTCTCTCAACGGTTCTTAAATCCTGATAATCATTCAGTTCATTATTTTGCGTTTCGCATATATTATCAATTTTAATATTTTCATTTTTAATTATATGAATACAAGTTACTTTTTCTTTATTTCTTATTATTAATCTTTCTAAATCTCCTCTCTCAAACAAAACCAAATGAGTAGGGATCACTTCATCTTTCAATCTCAATTGAGTCTTCCAATAATCTATGATCATACCAAATTTCAAGTTGAAATCATTTCCCAGAATTATATCTGTCGACAAAAAGGGCACCACTAAGAAATAAAACGACAATATTTTTGTATTAATTTTTAAATCTAATGCTACTTGTCCTTTTAACTGTTGTAGATTTTTTTCCTATAGCTGTTGATACTATTACGTTTGCTACTGGTAATTCTAATATGCGTATTGTATTTTTTATTTTGTTATAAAAGTTTTCTGATATTGCTGTTATTTGACTACCACTATCCACAAGACTCCACACCTTATATTTGTCAACTTCAAGTAAAACTCTGGGGGATGAAGGTATTTTATTTATTTCTGACTGTGTGTGACTCTCACTATTTATTACGTCATGAGATAAATCTCTAATTACGTCATAATATTGACGCACTGATGAGCCATAATTCAATGCGTCATTTTTCAGTTTAAATTATTAAAGTTTGAATTGTTTTGTTGGCTATCATCAATAATTGTACCATTTGAATGAGACCTATTATTTATGTTTGGAGGTGGAATCGTTAAATCAGGCAATTGAAATTTGTTTTGACTAAAATTTTGAGAAGGTTTATTATTTGAATAACGTCTACTGTTATGATATCGTTGGGGATTATAATTATTTCGTACTCTATTAAATCTACCTCGACCTCTATTAGTATAAGTATTTATTTGCCCGATTTGAGCTTGTGTATTGTTATGATTACTATGTGAATTGTATTTATTTTCAAAATTTCTTTTATTTTCTGCGAATAGAAGATCTAAATTTGTTAAAGTTTTAACAATCAAATCACTCTGGTTACAATCTATTGAAGCCAACGCAAGTTTTGCTGATTTAGGTAACTGTTGAATAATTGAATAATTTTTTTCGTAAATTGACATAGTTGGTCTAATAAAATTTGCTTTTCTCAACTGAGAATAATAAAATGATTGTAAGTTCTCATGATTTTGAGGGCTAAATTTCCCTTGCAACCACCGATTCTTAGTTTTAACTTGTACTTCTACTGTGTAAAAATTTTCCATGAAGGCAACTTTAAATTGATCATAATTCTCAAATGGATTTTGTAATTCCATCCATGCTCTAACTTTATTTTTAAGTAACATAGTAACCACGTGTAGCTTTCTCTCACATTGAATTTGTTTTAAACGGAAATATCTCTCCACTTCATCTAAAAATTCCAGAGGATTTGCACTATTTTCATCAGAAAATGACGGGACCGTTATATCAATTTGATTTACTTGTACGTTTCCGATCAATGATAGAAAGTCATTTACGAAATTTCGCTGTACGGCAACCGACTCTACCTGGATATTATTTTGTTGAGGTTGAACACTTTCTTGAACTTGGCGTAGTTGTTCTCTTGATTGTTGTAATTCTTCCTGAAGTTTGTTGCCATTATTCGTTTGCTCATTCAATTGTTGAGTGAGTCGCCGTATTTCAGCTTCTTGCCTCTCTAGATCCGCCTGATGACGTCTCGCCTCATTTCTCGGATCGTCAGGAATGACATTCATGTTGTTGTTTCGTGACCTCGTACTCGTACCAAACAAATTAGTAACGATTTTGTGTGATGTTCTTCCTGATCTCGTCACGTAAGTCGAGGACTCATTGGAATTAGCCATGCATTTTTTAATTTAGGAGTTAGGTTACCGCGTGGTCGGGCGCCAATGTAAAATTTATATAGGTTAAAAAAGACAACTTGTAATAAAATGGCTTTTCACAGTCAGTAGAACATGAATTCCTTAAGCTCCCGAATCACACGACGAGAAGGAAAGATTATTGAAATAATAAACACAGTATTTCTTTTGGCCACAATACATTATTTTCAATAGTTAAAACTTCTTAAAACTAAATACATTCATACGTGATCACAACTACATTCATACAATATTCACACATTATCATATCTGCATTCACACACTATTCACACATATTTACGTATCCGCATTTCAATTGCCAATAAATTTAATTCTTTTTCTTTGGCGTAGAGTGATGATGGTAAATTTATGATAGATTTACTATCATAATTCGTTAGAATAATTAATACAATGTAATTGAGCTCAATTCGATTAATGCTTACGTTTGTCAACAAAGTCCGCTGGTATTCGTAATACCGTTGTTATTTATTGTATCACTAACAAATTCTATGACGTAGTGAATGTTGAGGATTCCTTGAGATCAACGAATTCAAAAGCCTCGACGAAACTAGATACATAACCACCGATGTCAGTCATTGATGATTTGTTCCGTGGCGATGATTTCCAGTCTCGTTAGATCACAGAGGTGGCAATTTCGGCGTTGACCTTGCCTTGCATCCCGCTTCGGAGACGGCAGCAAGCGCGACGATATGCAGTCACGCTGGCGGGACGGCAGTTCGAACAAAAGCGAGCGAGCTATGATGTTCGTTAATTTTATTTAACTCTCGCTCATGCGCAGTGATCCGCAACGAATCTACACACGCACACACACAAATGTGAAAAGGCGCGAGGTTCAAATCGACTCGTTACATTCCTCCCCTGGACTTATGAGGGTTGAGAAGAAGTCCATATAGGCTTGGGTAGACTGACATTCATGATCTGCTTTAGTCAGTATTAAGCGTCGTCTTCCTCAATTCCATGATTCACACATTTCAAATTAAATATAAATTTAGATCATCAATTCTACAATACATACATTTCATTCTCAAATTAAAGTCATTTTCCATATATGATTTTTTAGATATTCTATGTACATCTTTACAAATAATTCATAAGTATTCGTGGTTTTCGGTTTAGCACATCGTCAAAACAATTATCCTATCTTAAATGTACTCATTCATTCTCCTCACTCATTCCATACCTTAAATCTATCTATACATGTTTTGAAGTTTACATTTTGAATAATCACTAAGATTTTTATTTACATGTTTGAAAATTATATTTCGTTATCATTTGGATCTAAAAAGGTTACGAATCGGATCTATTTTTATACTTTCTCAAGTTAGCGCGATTGTAAGTACCAATAATCGCACTGGAATCTTCAGACTCAGTTATTTCGAATGCATTTTCACTGATTATTTTAGAAATACGATACGGTCCTTCGAATATATCGAAAAACTTCTGCGTGACCTTGTCTAACGCTTTTGATAAATGTCTTACACGTAACATCACTAAGTCACCTATATTAAGTTTTACTTTAGATATTATTTTTTGTTTTTCACAACGTTTTTTTGAAACTTTTTTGAATATTCTCTCTAGCAAGAGTTATAATTATTTTATGATCAATTCTCGGTTGCATTGGAAACTTAACCAACTTTTGTATTTCATCTTGTATCGATTTTCCAAAAATGTAATTCGTTTGGCGCGAAACCTGTAGTAAAGTGAGTAGTTACATTTAGAAGGTTTTCAATAGTATTTATATGATTCACCCAAGTAGTATGCTTCGTCTTACACAAGGTCCTAAACATTCTACCCAATTCACGCATAACTCTCTCAGTGGGATTAGATTGTGGATGCCTTACACTGCTAAACAGGACTTTGACACCTATGTTTTCTAGCGAATCTCTCCATTTATGTGAGGTGAACTGAGTACCATTGTCGCTTAATATTCTCTCGAACTTTCCGCATTCTGGAATGTATTTATTCAAGATTTTATCGAGTGAACTTATTGTGGTAGCTTTTCTCAATGGGTATAAACGTACCAATTTTGAAAACACGTTTAAGACGACAAATACATACTCCATTCCTCCCCTGGCGCGAGGGAGGGGTCCATAATAATCGACTGTGACCAAATCTGAAGGTGAATTTGATGCAACCTGATTATATGGTCCCTCCATCGCGACTGATAAATACTTAACCCTCTGACACAAATCACATGTTAATACAAACTTTTTTATTTGCTTATGCATGAATTTCCAGTAATAAAATCGCTTGATATAAGTTAAGGTTTTAAAAACACCCGGATGGGGCTAATTTGTTATGAACGTAGTTTATTATTTTATTTGTTAATGTAATTGGAATAACAATACGATAATAATGACTTTTATTTTCGCGGTGAAATAAGATTTGTTGATATATTTCAAAGTTTTCTGTTTGTTTTTTGTTATTGTTGGCAAGAAGTTTATTCGTGATTGATGTACAATAACTGTCCTGTGATTGCAATTGATTTAAGTTCTTTAACATATGCTTTAAAGACGGTTTTTTCCTCATTTACTGCCATAATTACCAAAGGAGAAACTTCATTAATTTGAGAAGGAAAAATAAATGTATTGAGTAAACCAATCATTAATTTTTTTATCCGTTTCTCTATGAAATCTTCCCATAGGATTACGACTGAAAAAATCAGCAACTACATTGTCCGTACCCTTACAATAAGATATATCATAACAATATTGTTGCAATAACAGGGACCATCTAATTAAGCGCGAATTATGGTAAACGGTGTTTTGTAAAAATGTCAGACCTTTATGATCAGTTATTATTTCGAACTTGACACCTATCAAATAATACCGAAACTTTGTAACACAATATATAATAGCTAGTAATTCTATTTCGGCAGTAGTATATCGAGTTTCTTCAGATGTTAAGCATCTACTCGCTACCGAAATTATACATTGATTTTCTTCTTGGTCAATTTGATATAATGTGCCGCCTATACCAATCAAGCTACCATCACACTGCAACTTAAATGGGCTATTAGGTATGATGTGACTCAAGCAAACTGCACGAGCGAAATTTTGTTTTAAGGCCTCAAAATTTCTCTCATGCTCATTTGTCCAATGCCAAACCGCATCCCCAGCCAACAAATCTCGAAATGGCGAAATGTAATCACTATGTCGCATAACAAACCTGCGGTAGTAATTACATACACCTAAAAATTGCTGTAAATGTGCTTGATTTTTTGGATGTTCAAACTTAATTATTTCATCAATTCTCTTCGGGGTCTGGCTCTATGCCTTTATTCGACAAAATATATCCAAGAAATAAGATTTTATTTTTGAAAAATTCTGATTTTGAAATTTTTATTGTGAAATTATTTTGCAATAGTTTTTGAAAAATTATTTGTAACAACTGAATATGACGTTCAAAAGTGTTAGACGCAATAGCAGTATCATCTACATAGGTTATCAAATTTTTCTCTATATTAGAAAGTTGTAGAGGTATTTTCTTTTCTATTTTTTCTTCGTTATTTTCTTCAACTAAAAATTTAAAATTAATTGGAAGAGAGGTTTGAAGTGAGATGGCAAAAGCTCTAATGAGCGCGCTGCCAGCTGTTTTGATGCCAAAAGGCACGCGAATCCATTGATATGGTTTTGAGTCAAATTTAAATGCGGTTAAAGGTCTTGACTCTTTGTGTAATTTTACCTGCCAGTAACTATTTCGTAAATCTATTTTTGAAAAATGTTTGCATTCATAAAACTTTTGCATTATTTCTGCTATAACAGGGGGGGATTCCAAATCATCTTCAATGTTATCATTTATTTGTCTTGCATCCAAACAAACCCTTAATGAATCATCTTCCTTAACCACTATACGTAAAGGACTACAGTAAGGACTAATTGAAGGTTCTATTATACCTGCTTCTAACATTTCATTAATGACCCTACGTACCGGTTCCTGTAAGGCTGATGGTACGGGATACGAGCGATTAATTTTTGGATTATTATTTTTCAATACCAATTTATGCTCATAACCCAGTGCACATCCCGTTTTATTCTCAAACAATTTTTTATATTTTAATTAAAAGATCATGAAAAATTTGTTTCTCCCCGTCACTTAGATTTTCAGTTGAAAACGCAATTGAGTAAAGTTGATCATCAAGACTTTTTTCATTTTCTTTTTCTTTATGCATTACTCTTGTATTCATGTTATTCATATATATGCGATTAATATTAACACAATTATTATAAGTATCTAATAACTCAATATCTAGATCCATAAGATCATCGTAAACATCAGACAAATTGTCAATATATTCTATATTATTTTTCCTAATAATATTTTCCGTTGGATTTTGATTAATTTCACAATTGTTCATATTTATACCATTATTTTTATTTCTCTCAACGGTTCTTAATCCTGATAATCATTCAGTTCATTATTTTGCGTTTCGCATATATTATCAATTTTAATATTTTCATTTTTAATTATATGAATACAAGTTACTTTTTCTTTATTTCTTATTATTAATCTTTCTAAATCTCCTCTCTCAAACAAAACCAAATGAGTAGGGATCACTTCATCTTTCAATCTCAATTGAGTCTTCCAATAATCTATGATCATACCAAATTTCAAGTTGAAATCATTTCCCAGAATTATATCTGTCGACAAAAAGGGCACCACTAAGAAATAAAACGACAATATTTTTGTATTAATTTTTAAATCTAATGCTACTTGTCTTTTAACTGTTGTAGATTTTTTTCCTATAGCTGTTGATACTATTACGTTTGCTACTGGTAATTCTAATATGCGTATTGTATTTTTTATTTTGTTATAAAAGTTTTCTGATATTGCTGTTATTTGACTACCACTATCCACAAGACTCCACACCTTATATTTGTCAACTTCAAGTAAAACTCTGGGGGATGAAGGTATTTTATTTATTTCTGACTGTGTGTGACTCTCACTATTTATTACGTCATGAGATAAATCTCTAATTACGTCATAATATTGACGCACTGATGAGCCATAATTCAATGCGTCATTTTTCAGTTTAAATTATTAAAGTTTGAATTGTTTTGTTGGCTATCATCAATAATTGTACCATTTGAATGAGACCTATTATTTATGTTTGGAGGTGGAATCGTTAAATCAGGCAATTGAAATTTGTTTTGACTAAAATTTTGAGAAGGTTTATTATTTGAATAACGTCTACTGTTATGATATCGTTGGGGATTATAATTATTTCGTACTCTATTAAATCTACCTCGACCCTCTATTAGTATAAAGTATTTATTTGCCCGATTTGAGCTTGTGTATTGTTATGATTACTATGTGAATTGTATTTATTTTCAAAATTTCTTTTATTTTCTGCGAATAGAAGATCTAAATTTGTTAAAGTTTTAACAATCAAATCACTCTGGTTACAATCTATTGAAGCCAACGCAAGTTTTGCTGATTTAGGTAACTGTTGAATAATTGAATAATTTTTTTCGTAAATTGACATAGTTGGTCTAATAAAATTTGCTTTTCTCAACTGAGAATAATAAAATGATTGTAAGTTCTCATGATTTTGAGGGCTAAATTTCCCTTGCAACCACCGATTCTTAGTTTTAACTTGTACTTCTACTGTGTAAAAATTTTCCATGAAGGCAACTTTAAATTGATCATAATTCTCAAATGGATTTTGTAATTCCATCCATGCTCTAACTTTATTTTTAAGTAACATAGTAACCACGTGTAGCTTTCTCTCACATTGAATTTGTTTTTTAAACGGAAATATCTCTCCACTTCATCTAAAAATTCCAGAGGATTTGCACTATTTTCATCAGAAAATGACGGGACCGTTATATCAATTTGATTTACTTGTACGTTTCCGATCAATGATAGAAAGTCATTTACGAAATTTCGCTGTACGGCAACCGACTCTACCTGGATATTATTTTGTTGAGGTTGAACACTTTCTTGAACTTGGCGTAGTTGTTCTCTTGATTGTTGTAATTCTTCCTGAAGTTTGTTGCCATTATTCGTTTGCTCATTCAATTGTTGAGTGAGTCGCCGTATTTCAGCTTCTTGCCTCTCTAGATCCGCCTGATGACGTCTCGCCTCATTTCTCGGATCGTCAGGAATGACATTCATGTTGTTGTTTCGTGACCTCGTACTCGTACCAAACAAATTAGTAACGATTTTGTGTGATGTTCTTCCTGATCTCGTCACGTAAGTCGAGGACTCATTGGAATTAGCCATGCATTTTTTAATTTAGGAGTTAGGTTACCGCGTGGTCGGGCGCCAATGTAAAATTTATATAGGTTAAAAAAGACAACTTGTAAATAAAATGGCTTTTCACAGTCAGTAGAACATGAATTCCTTAAGCTCCCGAATCACACGACGAGAAGGAAAGATTATTGAAATAATAAACACAGTATTTCTTTTGGCCACAATACATTATTTTCAATAGTTAAAACTTCTTAAAACTAAATACATTCATACGTGATCACAACTACATTCATACAATATTCACACATTATCATATCTGCATTCACACACTATTCACACATATTTACGTATCCGCATTTCAATTGCCAATAAATTTAATTCTTTTTCTTTGGCGTAGAGTGATGATGGTAAATTTATGATAGATTTACTATCATAATTCGTTAGAATAATTAATACAATGTAATTGAGCTCAATTCGATTAATGCTTACGTTTGTCAACAAAGTCCGCTGGTATTCGTAATACCGTTGTTATTTATTGTATCACTAACAAATTCTATGACGTAGTGAATGTTGAGGATTCCTTGAGATCAACGAATTCAAAAGCCTCGACGAAACTAGATACATAACCACCGATGTCAGTCATTGATGATTTGTTCCGTGGCGATGATTTCCAGTCTCGTTAGATCACAGAGGTGGCAATTTCGGCGTTGACCTTGCCTTGCATCCCGCTTCGGAGACGGCAGCAAGCGCGACGATATGCAGTCACGCTGGCGGGACGGCAGTTCGAACAAAAGCGAGCGAGCTATGATGTTCGTTAATTTTATTTAACTCTCGCTCATGCGCAGTGATCCGCAACGAATCTACACACGCACACACACAAATGTGAAAAGGCGCGAGGTTCAAATCGACTCGTTACATTCCTCCCCTGGACTTATGAGGGTTGAGAAGAAGTCCATATAGGCTTGGGTAGACTGACATTCATGATCTGCTTTAGTCAGTATTAAGCGTCGTCTTCCTCAATTCCATGATTCACACATTTCAAATTAAATATAAATTTAGATCATCAATTCTACAATACATACATTTCATTCTCAAATTAAAGTCATTTTCCATATATGATTTTTTAGATATTCTATGTACATCTTTACAAATAATTCATAAGTATTCGTGGTTTTCGGTTTAGCACATCGTCAAAACAATTATCCTATCTTAAATGTACTCATTCATTCTCCTCACTCATTCCATACCTTAAATCTATCTATACATGTTTTGAAGTTTACATTTTGAATAATCACTAAGATTTTATTTACATGTTTGAAAATTATATTTCGTTATCATTTGGATCTAAAAAGGTTACGAATCGGATCTATTTTTATACTTTCTCAAGTTAGCGCGATTGTAAGTACCAATAATCGCACTGGAATCTTCAGACTCAGTTATTTCGAATGCATTTTCACTGATTATTTTAGAAATACGATACGGTCCTTCGAATATATCGAAAAACTTCTGCGTGACCTTGTCTAACGCTTTTGATAAATGTCTTACACGTAACATCACTAAGTCACCTATATTAAGTTTTACTTTAGATATTATTTTTTGTTTTTCACAACGTTTTTTGAAACTTTTTTGAATATTCTCTCTAGCAAGAGTTATAATTATTTTATGATCAATTCTCGGTTGCATTGGAAACTTAACCAACTTTTGTATTTCATCTTGTATCGATTTTCCAAAATGTAATTCGTTTGGCGCGAAACCTGTAGTAAAGTGAGTAGTTACATTTAGAAGGTTTTCAATAGTATTTATATGATTCACCCAAGTAGTATGCTTCGTCTTACACAAGGTCCTAAACATTCTACCCAATTCACGCATAACTCTCTCAGTGGGATTAGATTGTGGATGCCTTACACTGCTAAACAGGACTTTGACACCTATGTTTTCTAGCGAATCTCTCCATTTATGTGAGGTGAACTGAGTACCATTGTCGCTTAATATTCTCTCGAACTTTCCGCATTCTGGAATGTATTTATTCAAGATTTTATCGAGTGAACTTATTGTGGTAGCTTTTCTCAATGGGTATAAACGTACCAATTTTGAAAACACGTTTAAGACGACAAATACATACTCCATTCCTCCCCTGGCGCGAGGGAGGGGTCCATAATAATCGACTGTGACCAAATCTGAAGGTGAATTTGATGCAACCTGATTATATGGTCCCTCCATCGCGACTGATAAATACTTAACCCTCTGACACAAATCACATGTTAATACAAACTTTTTTATTTGCTTATGCATGAATTTCCAGTAATAAAATCGCTTGATATAAGTTAAGGTTTTAAAAACACCCGGATGGGCTAATTTGTTATGAACGTAGTTTATTATTTTATTTGTTAATGTAATTGGAATAACAATACGATAATAATGACTTTTATTTTCGCGGTGAAATAAGATTTGTTGATATATTTCAAAGTTTTCTGTTTGTTTTTTGTTATTGTTGGCAAGAAGTTTATTCGTGATTGATGTACAATAACTGTCCTGTGATTGCAATTGATTTAAGTTCTTTAACATATGCTTTAAAGACGGTTTTTCCTCATTTACTGCCATAATTACCAAAGGAGAAACTTCATTAATTTGAGAAGGAAAAATAAATGTATTGAGTAAACCAATCATTAATTTTTTATCCGTTTCTCTATGAAATCTTCCCATAGGATTACGACTGAAAAAATCAGCAACTACATTGTCCGTACCCTTACAATAAGATATATCATAACAATATTGTTGCAATAACAGGGACCATCTAATTAAGCGCGAATTATGGTAAACGGTGTTTTGTAAAAATGTCAGACCTTTATGATCAGTTATTATTTCGAACTTGACACCTATCAAATAATACCGAAACTTTGTAACACAATATATAATAGCTAGTAATTCTATTTCGGCAGTAGTATATCGAGTTTCTTCAGATGTTAAGCATCTACTCGCTACCGAAATTATACATTGATTTTCTTCTTGGTCAATTTGATATAATGTGCCGCCTATACCAATCAAGCTACCATCACACTGCAACTTAAATGGGCTATTAGGTATGATGTGACTCAAGCAAACTGCACGAGCGAAATTTTGTTTTAAGGCCTCAAAATTTCTCTCATGCTCATTTGTCCAATGCCAAACCGCATCCCCAGCCAACAAATCTCGAAATGGCGAAATGTAATCACTATGTCGCATAACAAACCTGCGGTAGTAATTACATACACCTAAAAATTGCTGTAAATGTGCTTGATTTTTTGGATGTTCAAACTTAATTATTTCATCAATTCTCTTCGGGTCTGGCTCTATGCCTTTATTCGACAAAATATATCCAAGAAATAAGATTTTATTTTTGAAAAATTCTGATTTTGAAATTTTTATTGTGAAATTATTTTGCAATAGTTTTTGAAAAATTATTTGTAACAACTGAATATGACGTTCAAAAGTGTTAGACGCAATAGCAGTATCATCTACATAGGTTATCAAATTTTTCTCTATATTAGAAAGTTGTAGAGGTATTTTCTTTTCTATTTTTTCTTCGTTATTTTCTTCAACTAAAAATTTAAAATTAATTGGAAGAGAGGTTTGAAGTGAGATGGCAAAAGCTCTAATGAGCGCGCTGCCAGCTGTTTTGATGCCAAAAGGCACGCGAATCCATTGATATGGTTTTGAGTCAAATTTAAATGCGGTTAAAGGTCTTGACTCTTTGTGTAATTTTACCTGCCAGTAACTATTTCGTAAATCTATTTTTGAAAAATGTTTGCATTCATAAAACTTTTGCATTATTTCTGCTATAACAGGGGGGGATTCCAAATCATCTTCAATGTTATCATTTATTTGTCTTGCATCCAAACAAACCCTTAATGAATCATCTTCCTTAACCACTATACGTAAAGGACTACAGTAAGGACTAATTGAAGGTTCTATTATACCTGCTTCTAACATTTCATTAATGACCCTACGTACCGGTTCCTGTAAGGCTGATGGTACGGGATACGAGCGATTAATTTTTGGATTATTATTTTTCAATACCAATTTATGCTCATAACCCAGTGCACATCCCGTTTTATTCTCAAACAATTTTTTATATTTAATTAAAAGATCATGAAAAATTTGTTTCTCCCCGTCACTTAGATTTTCAGTTGAAAACGCAATTGAGTAAAGTTGATCATCAAGACTTTTTTCATTTTCTTTTTCTTTATGCATTACTCTTGTATTCATGTTATTCATATATATGCGATTAATATTAACACAATTATTATAAGTATCTAATAACTCAATATCTAGATCCATAAGATCATCGTAAACATCAGACAAATTGTCAATATATTCTATATTATTTTTCCTAATAATATTTTCCGTTGGATTTTGATTAATTTCACAATTGTTCATATTTATACCATTATTTTTATTTCTCTCAACGGTTCTTAAATCCTGATAATCATTCAGTTCATTATTTTGCGTTTCGCATATATTATCAATTTTAATATTTTCATTTTTAATTATATGAATACAAGTTACTTTTTCTTTATTTCTTATTATTAATCTTTCTAAATCTCCTCTCTCAAACAAAACCAAATGAGTAGGGATCACTTCATCTTTCAATCTCAATTGAGTCTTCCAATAATCTATGATCATACCAAATTTCAAGTTGAAATCATTTCCCAGAATTATATCTGTCGACAAAAAGGGCACCACTAAGAAATAAAACGACAATATTTTTGTATTAATTTTTAAATCTAATGCTACTTGTCTTTTAACTGTTGTAGATTTTTTTCCTATAGCTGTTGATACTATTACGTTTGCTACTGGTAATTCTAATATGCGTATTGTATTTTTTATTTTGTTATAAAAGTTTTCTGATATTGCTGTTATTTGACTACCACTATCCACAAGACTCCACACCTTATATTTGTCAACTTCAAGTAAAACTCTGGGGGATGAAGGTATTTTATTTATTTCTGACTGTGTGTGACTCTCACTATTTATTACGTCATGAGATAAAT